AGTCATACTGTTACCTACAAACTAATAATATAACATTCCTACATTTATCCGTTTCACAAGCTTTATCTATGTAATGTTTCTAACGAATTATTTCCATCATTTCATCAACGTCCTGTATTTCATGTGCCAACACAATCAAATACTCCTTTTGGAAAGCTACCACAGGCTGAAAACATCTACCTATCTTACTACTACCATCTGTAAGGAAAACTAGCGGCTTTTGGGCAAAACGTTCACGAGAAGAAGCCACTACCTTCGCCGAATATCTACATAAAATATCTCAAACCGAAGAATCAAATACACTCGCGCAAATAGCACAATTACGACCCTACTCGCGGAAACAACCCCAGAAGATTCATAAGACATTAAATAGATCGCAGACATTAAAATTAGAAACATCTCCGCTTGGACTTAATTAACGATAAAATTATTAAAGAACTTTCTTCGAAAGCAATCAGGATGCTTATAATATAATCAAATTTAATGCTATACTTGGAATTAAATACATCCCTACCCACCCTACGTTGCCCTATGCTATATATGCAACATAAAAAGAATGTTGAGTTGGCTGTATCCTACTGACCTATCTCATTACTTTCAATAACGTCAAAAGTGCTTGAGAGGATAATATTATCTAGAATACTGGATATCATTTCATAAAAAGGTCTTTTTACGCACCAATTTGACTTCTAGAGAAATCATTCTACGATCAAACAAGGTAGGTAATAGAAACAAGATTACTAAAGCTACAGAACAGAAACAATATATCACCGCTACATTTCTCGACATCGAAGAAGCGTTTGATAAAGTATGACATGGAGGCCTGCTATATAAAATAAAACTAAACCTTCTTATCGCCTTTTATCATGTAATAAAGTCTTATCTCAAGACCAGAACATTTTTGGTAAAAATACAAGGCAGTATCTCTGACATTCACAAAATCAGACCTGTCGTTCCCCAGGGTAGCGTCTTAGGCTCATTCTGTATACCTCTCTATACCAGTCGATAACTCTAGTGGTCCAGATAGTGCACTATTCGCATTTGCAAACGACACAGTCATAATAACCACTCACGATAATCCCGCGGCAGCTTCTCATTTACTTCACAAACACATCGAAACTTTGAACTTTGGCTAAACCAACGGAGAATAATATTAATCCTGAACAAATGCAATCATATTACTTTCACGTTAAAGAAAGCCAGTATACTTCCCATTATGCTCAACCATACTACGTACCACGCTACAAACTAAAATAGTCATTTAGGTCCATATCTGAACTCCAAATTTACCTGGAAAAATCACATTCGCGAAAAGATAGGACAAATTCAGATTAAAAAGGAAAGTATGCACTGGTTTACTAGTAAGCATTTCAAATTGGATTAAGCATTCCACACACGAAAACACACTGTTGCTATACAAATCAATCATAAAGCCTTCAATCTATAATTCTTAAAACAGTAGTCAGTGCTCCATGGTATATTCGCAAAGACCTACATAATGAAATCGGTTTCCGAAAAAATAAGGCAACTATGTAGTCATTACAAGAATCAGTCTGGAAAATCATCACAATACGATAATCAAGGAACTTCATGTATCTGATCAACCCAAGTGATTATAGAAAAGACACTCGATTGATCTTCTCCGATTACGCACTAAATCTTTATAAATTCCACAATGTTTAATTATAACACTACGGTAACACAATTGATATTGACTTTTTTTAAATGGGATAACGTGTCCGTCTACGTGTTAAATGAACCTACGTCAATAAGCCAATTTATCGAATGAAACAAGTTATAAAACTTTTACGGGGAAAAAGAAAAGAAAAATATACCAACGTTGGTTTATTAAGCTTTACGATTCTCATTTTTTTAATGGCTAACAATTCCGTAGAAATACTATTTCCATTTGTCAAGTGCACACAATAGATTGAAATTCTGAAAGCAGACTGGAATTTATCGGTGCGATACGTAACTCGATCCACTAATTCCTGGAAACACAAACACGATCTCTTATATACCGTTTACGTAATTAAATTGCTTGAAGATTCGTTAACTCGTAAAGTGCGAGAGTTTAGTTTAGCAAAATTATACGTAAACATTCGTTTCTTATAAACCGAGAATTAAACAGATTTATAAATTATAACATGAACTTTTGTTCGTAACAACACATGTATATGTATGTATACCGAGTAAATGTGATCAAATTTTATAAAAATATAAAAATTTATTTGGACATAGTGCTTCATATAACACGTTTTTATATACATTTATATATTTAATAAATATTATATGAATACATATGAGAATCATACGAGAAAATTATAACATCACTTTTGTTGATTTCCTAACTTCTTATGAAATAGTTGAAGAAGAGAATAATGTGACAGATAAAAAGATACATATATGTAAACTTTTTGAAAATATGTGATACGAATAGAAATTTTGGAATAATGTTTTTGTTTGTAACAGAAATAGTTATTAGAGTATATGTTCGGTTGCATTAGTTGAATATTTGCCGGCGGCAGACTAGAAAAATCAAAATATTCATAAGTTTTATATTTTTTTATAGAACATAAATAAATTCTCCTCGAACTTCTATCGGCCAAATAGGTATATATTCCAGTAATGTTTTATGTATTTGTTTACTATTTTCTACTGGAGAATCTTTCTTCTTATGTTTACTTCATATAAGACCGATTTAAATTTTCCATGTTATTTACAAATATGCATATTGTTGCGTGGGGGCCATTCAATGCAGTGGTTTTTATACATTATTTATTTACAGATTTTAATATGGCACAGTAATGAAATCAACAACACGATCTATACGCTTTTAAAAATATACATTTTTGTATAGAACGAGACGGGCTCCTTGAAGCTCGGGGACCGATTCTCTTTTTAAATATTCACAATCGTTAGCGAAACGACCGCTCGATCGAACAATCGATCTATTTCGCTTCCAGAGACATCTTCAGTACGACTGAAGTTGTACACAGCAACTTCGTATTGTTGCAACAGTATCATAGCATTTTATATCTCAAAATTGTATATCTCAAAAACTGTAATATCTTTAGCTAACTTATAGTACTATTGCGTTTGGTTATAAACTCTTTATCGGCGGTGAAATCTACCTGTGAAAATCTTCGTGTTGGTGTTTCTTTCATACATGCAGCTTTGACATAAGCATAATAAGGCCTACTCTATGTAAGTACATCATTCTTTAAGATTATGATATCTAAGGGAGCTGCGAAAATGACATTCTTACTACTAAAATTGCTACTACCTACTTACTTAGGAAGATAGGAATGTTTTTAAAACCAGTCATATACGTTGATACACCACTAATCAGTGATACACAAGTACATATGTAGTTAGGCAGATATGGAATCCCTTTCACACTTCATTCCTTCTATAGCAATGGAATTTTTTCATATTGCGATGCTTTCATATAGCGATTATTCTGTTATTCAAACGCATAATTCTCAATCGCTGTTACGAAGTGCAAAGGTAAACGCTTTTAGTTTTAAAGAAGTCGGTTTTCAAATTGATGTTCTATAGATAAGTTAATAAATTGAAAACTGTTTATGTTTAAGACTAAGGTTTACGGAACCCGGATTTCAAACTTCGAAATGATATACGCCAAAAAACCATAGCATTAATTTTAACCATTTTGCATCGTAAATTATTTATTTATTTATTATTGCTTAGTCCGTGCCTTTCAGCTTTAGACGAACTTTCGGTTTTACATCTCTTATGTCTATTTCTCTTCTTATATGTCTACCTCCCCTCTTTTCCACTCTATTCTATTGCACTACCTTACTTATTCTACCTCTAACAACTAAAAATTAGGAACTATAAATTAGCAACTAATGACTAAAAACTATTGCAACTTTGGTCTTTAGCCTTCTTGCTGTGCCTCCTTCTTGTCGATTGCCCTTCTCTTCTCTATTATTGCTTTCAGTTCTGCAAAACCTTCTCCAGTCTCGTTTAGCGCTTTTCCTATGTCCTTTGGTCCTCCCGTTATTTCATATTCTTCTATTACATGTTTGCCAGTATTCTTCTGTCCTTCCACTTCATCCTCCCTTCTAAGTACTTTGGTAATTTTTCTTTCTATGGCTATGTTTCTGTAGTGTATATTATACTTGGATTCCCTTATCCTTTCCCCCCTCTCTTCTGTTTCTCTGTTTCTTCTATAATTTGGTCTGTTGTTATCCTTTCTTGCTGCTCTCCTGTTTCTATCTGCGCTCCTCCTTTTCTCACCTCTTCTAGTCCCTTCTTTCTCTTTCTTGCTCTTTTCCCTTCCTGACCATTCCCCCATTCTCTCTCTCTCTCCTTTATACACTCCTTTACTAATTCCTTTTTTGATTCTAGGGCTTTCTCTTCGTACCTTGCTGTTCTTTTTAATCCTTTTTCTTTTATTTCTATTATTTTGCATTCTGCCATCAGTATACAATTTGGTGTTGTCATATCTAAGTCTAATATCCATTTTACATATCTCCTTTGAACTCTGTCCAGTCTTTCTTCAATGTTCCAGCCCTATACATTAATTTCATGCTCTGCTCCAAACAGCGCCACGCTCTCTACCAGTGCTCCAAACATCTTCATTCTCCTATTGTAGTCCTGTTTGAATATTCTTTCTCCCACGCTCCATGTTTTCTTCATTGCTATATTGCTAATTACACATGCGCTCCTGATTTCTTTACTATTCTGCAACTATTAACCTCAATGGATAACGATTATCCTTCGTTGTCTTCAAGATCGTCGTCTTCTTCTTGAGCTTTGCAAACTCGATCACTCAAACCGCTTTTCGGCCTTCCTGTACTAATAACTCTTCTACTGTATTCCGACTAAGCGCGTCCACATGACGCATCGCCGTACCTGGTCTATGCTCGATTTTATAAACAAATTTTTAATATTTTCTATCGTTTCTGCAGCTTTTTGCAACTGCTCTTTCAAAGTATTTGTACTGTGTTCAGATTGCTTTTTCATATCTTCTATCAACGTATTCTTTTCTCCAAATCTTTTGTCGCACGTTCTATTTCTGTCCGCAAACTTTTCTGTGATTCTTTATGAACCGCGCTTTCTTGTTGATTTTCTTTCAATTTTGATTGCAATTCAGTTTTTTGATTTATACATTGCTCTATAATTATTCTTTTCTCTTGCACCTTATCCTCAAGATTATTTCTACTTTCCTCCAAAGTTTTATTGCGACTCTGTAAGTCTTCGATTTGCTGCGTTTCTTGAGCAGTAGCATTTGAAACTTGTTGAAGTGGTTACCACTTCTAAGAAAACTCTACATCTGGTCGTTTTAGTTTTCTCAAGCACTGACGCCATTGACAGCCCGTAGACAAAAGACTGCGACGAAGTCAGGCCATAAACGGTAGACAGGCGACGTTGGCTTCGGGGTTTTTCAGTTATTGGGTAACACAACTAGCGTGCGGATCTGGACCAGCTCAAATTGTATTCTTACGTATTACACTTCTATTTAAATATATTTTCTGCCATACAATTTATCCACGTGTTTTCTCTGTTTACACACCGAATAACCTCAACAAGACTTCATTGCGAAGACGTGTCATTTCTTCTTCTGTTTCGAATGATTTTATGCTAACACGTTCTAGCTGACCGACACGTTCTCTTTCTTCCAGCAAAAGCATTTCGAGATCTTTGATCTTATTTTCATTTACAGTATTTATCACACATTGCTCACTTCTTTCTTTCTGAATATCATCCTTGTTACCCGATTTTTCCTCGAAACGAAACTGGAGATCTTCAAACTTCCTCTTCTCTTCCTCCAATTGTAAAGCTAGTGCATTTTTCTCTTCGAGTAATTTTGAAAATGCAACCTCCGCGTCAGTAACGGTTTTTTGCATTTTCTCGCGATACTGCTCATATTCTTTTACTACTGAAATAAGCGATTGTTCTGTCTGATCTGCTTGATTTGCGGCTTTCGTAATTCGTTCACGTTCTAAATCTCGTTCTTTCCGGAGAATCTCGATTTCCTGTTGTTTCTCTCCAATATGGTCCAATTCGACCTTATCTCGATCGTTTTCTTCACTACATACGTCTATATTTAATACTTCATTCCATTCACTAACTTCGACAGCACAATGGTTCACACGTTGTTCCTTTTTAATTTGTATAAACTTAACTTGTTTATGTTCCACTCTTATTTCCAATTGCTCAGTTAACTCAATTCCTAATAGTACATCATGTCCTAAATAGTTATCAGGAACTATATCAAAGTCTAGAGTTGCCTTGAAACCGTCAATCACTATTTCCGTTTTAAATTGTCCCATGGTATGTACGTTCACGGCTCCTATACTATCGAATTTAATTATTCTGTTCTCAAGTTGAGGTGCTCCTAAACGCAAATACATACTCATTCTCACTAAATTTTGTCCATAATCTTAATTTGCTTGACCCCTCCTTTATTTTCATTTCGCCACCCATCACAACGCGTCTTAACCTTAAGTATATTCGCACAGTTTGTTGAAATGTGTCCGAATTCTCTACATTTAAAACATTTAGGACCTCTCGATTTGTTTGGACAATCAGCACTTACATGTTCTTTATCGCCGCAATTATGACATCTTCTATACTTCACCACATTTCCAGATTGCCTGTATTTCCTGTTGTCCTCAGCTCTGACCAGTCCCACAGATGACTCTGCTATACGAGATTTTTGTTCCTCATAGGTGATTAGATTTTCCTTAAGTTCTTTCATTGATTTTGCCCCATATAGTATTGCCTTATTGACTTCTTTGTCTCTTATTCCTTCTACGATGTACCGCATTTTTGCTGCTTCTTTCATATTCATGTGACTAGCTACCCCAAGCATACGATACATGTAAGCCGTACATCCTTCGTCATCTCGTTTTTTCGTCTCTTGAAGTCTATGGTGTACTTACCATGTATTAAATTTTTTCGAAAATTCTTTTATTAGACTTCTTTTTAATTCACACCAAGTTCTAGCATGGCACTCATAATTTACAAATATTTCAGCTGATCCTCTCATCAACTTTTTTGTACAGATTACTTTTTGTTCCTCTGTCCACATACACATGCTTGCCGTTTCTTCAAATGTCCTGAACCATTGATTGATATTTTCGTTGTTTTCGTCCGTAAAAACTTCTAAGGCGTCTTGGACATCTTGAAAACTCAATGTTGTTCGCCTACGTGTCTTTCTACAGCATTCGCAATTCTGATGTCCATCTCGCACGCTCCTGCGTTCACTTTCACCCTTTTCATCGTCTTCCGTTTCACTCTCGTAGTCGGTTTCTTCCTCCGACGACGCATCTTCTTCTAAGACCGCCCGTAAGACTCACGTAATTCTGCTTTTCTTCCTTTTGTCTCTAGCCCCATACTAGCTAGACGTTCTCTCAATTCCTTCGTCCTAAGCCTCCCGAGATTTTCGTCTACATCTCGATCATGCTTAGTTTTTGGTTTAGTACATGTACCTCGCTTCTCCGCGGACCTTTCACTACTCGCTTGTTCTTTAAGATTTGATTGACCTGCACCAAGTGCTCTATTTAGCCTGGCCATCAGCACTGACCTTGCCCCAGATATCGGTATATTCATCTGAGCAAGCTTATTCCTCAATTCTCCCATTGTTAAATTTTCCTCGCTTGAAAATTGTTCCACCTCGTAATTTGCCATCTTTGACTTCACAATAATTTCTTCAAGTACACACAATATTATTCACAACAGCTAACGATCTTTTATCACACTTCCCGAAATTTAGATTGGCACGATTTAAAACTGGACGAGCCCCCAATTTGTAGGAATGTTATATTATTAGTTAATAGAGAACAGTATGATAAATACAATATCGTAGCACTCACACAAAATCGAATATAATATCGCGTTTCGCGTATTCGTTTCTCACTAATTCTACGTCACAACAACACGACGAACTTCTCTCGACCACGATAAATTCAACTCTGACAGCATTTACCACGCTCATTTTTCCCTTAACAAACCTTGGTAACGCTCACAACACTCCTTGACAACATTAACATATCTTGACAACGTTTATAAACAATCAGCCACGTTATTCCCTAGCGTCACACCATTCCACACATATACAAGCGGGTATGAGGTAATTTCTTATGAAAAAATAAGAAGAAGATATACAATAAAATTTTCTCATATATGGCACTCATAATTTACAAATATTTCAGCTGATCCTCTCATCAACTTTTTTGTACAGATTACTTTTTGTTCCTCTGTCCACATACACATGCTTGCCGTTTCTTCAAATGTCCTGAACCATTGATTGATATTTTCGTTGTTTTCGTCCGTAAAAACTTCTAAGGCGTCTTGGACATCTTGAAAACTCAATGTTGTTCGCCTACGTGTCTTTCTACAGCATTCGCAATTCTGATGTCCATCTCGCACGCTCCTGCGTTCACTTTCACCCTTTTCATCGTCTTCCGTTTCACTCTCGTAGTCGGTTTCTTCCTCCGACGACGCATCTTCTTCTAAGACCGCCCGTAAGACTCACGTAATTCTGCTTTTCTTCCTTTTGTCTCTAGCCCCATACTAGCTAGACGTTCTCTCAATTCCTTCGTCCTAAGCCTCCCGAGATTTTCGTCTACATCTCGATCATGCTTAGTTTTTGGTTTAGTACATGTACCTCGCTTCTCCGCGGACCTTTCACTACTCGCTTGTTCTTTAAGATTTGATTGACCTGCACTAAATGCTCTATTTAGCCTGGCCACCAGCACTGACCTTGCCCCAGATATCGGTAGGTTCATCTGAGCAAGCTTATTCCTCAATTCTTCCATTGTTAAATTTTCCTCGCTTGAAAATTGTTCCACCTCGTAATTTGCCATCTTTGACTTCACAATAATTTCTTCAAGTACACACAATATTATTCACAACAGCTAACGATCTTTTATCACACTTCCCGAAATTTAGATTGGCACGATTTAAAACTGGACGAGCCCCCAATTTGTAGGAATGTTATATTATTAGTTAATAGAGAACAGTATGATAAATACAATATCGTAGCACTCACACAAAATCGAATATAATATCGCGTTTCGCGTATTCGTTTCTCACTAATTCTACGTCACAACAACACGACGAACTTCTCTCGACCACGATAAATTCAACTCTGACAGCATTTACCACGCTCATTTTTCCCTTAACAGATTTTGGTAACGCTCACAACACTCCTTGACAACATTAACATATCTTGACAACGTTTATAAACAATCAGCCACGTCCTTCGCTGACGTCACACCATCCCACATAAACAATCCTTATATGTTTGCTTTGTTCGTAAAATCATTCCTACAATAATAAATATAAGAATTTTCTTTTTTTTTATTGTTTGATTTGTACTTTACAATTTGTTCAATTGGACATTTGATAAATAATATAAGAATAGAAGAAAAATCTTTACTAAGATGCTTCCAATTCGTTACCTCAATCACGCCTCGATAATGTAAACTGAAGCGGATTGTATGGCCTGAGTGTTTTCGTCTTCAACGAAATCGCTTATGCCTATCGCCAAAGAAACTCCTAAAGCAAGAGACGATGTTCAGTATTATTTCTGCAGTGACAGTGTAAGAACGTTTTTCAAAGACAGTGTGCAAAAGCTTCAGTTACTGTAGACAGTCTCCGCTTATTATAAGTATTTACAATAGGGTAATTGAAGTTGGGCTCAGTATTTTTTTGTGTTGGTCAGTCTCCTTTTTCTAGCAATCATGAGTAAATCCAGGAGATCTAATAAGATATTGAACAAAATTCAATGAAGATGTTCTGAGGGTACCTCCGAAAAGAAAGAAAAGTATGAATTAGGCCAAAGCGTAGCTGACAGTGAAAATTTTGAATACATTGAAAGTGGAGAGATAGAAGGATCTCGGATAGTGAAGAGGAAACCTTCTTGAAAGCGTGTCGTAACAAAAAAAGGATGCGCATTCTTTCTAGTTTTGACTCCGAGGATGAGAGAACGAGCATTCCAAGCACATCCCAAAACGTATGGTAATGGGTGAAATTGAAATTGCATTTGACGGGACACAGTGTATAAAACTGAAAGCAAGCGGATCTAGGGGTAGGACGCCCGTTCGTATAATATTCAAGGATATTACAGGGCCTACTAGCTACGCTAAGAGAAATATTATGTCGGGTTGTGTAACTAGTGCTTTCGAATTGATAATTGACAGACACATAATGGAGCACATAAAAGATTGCACTGAAACCGAGGCACATCGAGTTTTGAAAAAAGACTGGACAATCACAGTTGCTGAGTTACGTCGTTTTCTAGCAATTCTATATGCCCGGGGCGCATATGAAGCGAGATCATTGAACGCTTCTTATCTATGGTCGAAAAAATGGGCACCCGCTTTCTTCGCAAACATAATGTGCAGAGATAAATTTACAAAAATTCTGAGATTTATACGCTTTGACAAAAGAGACCAATGATCCGAAAGATTACAAACAGATAAATTTGCGCTGATATCCGAACTATGCAACAGATTTATAAGTAATAGCCAAGCTTGTTATAAGCCATATGAGAATATCTCAGTAAATGAACAATTATTTCCAACGAAAGCCCGACGCTTGTTTACGCAATATATGCCAAGTAAGCCTCATAAATTTGGCGTTAAGTTTTGGTTAGCAGTTTACGTCCAAACAAAATATATTTTGAATGGTTTGAAAAATCCAAAATCTCAAAATCCTTGAACGAGTTTGTAATATTAAAATTAGCCGAACCATATTTACAACGAGAAAAAACAACCTTGGTTGGGACCATCCGGTCGAACAAAAGTTAACTGCCAAAACCAGCAAAGGAAAAAAAGGACAAAGTTAAAACAAAGTTTGGTGTGGACGTCGTTGACCAGAAGGCACGCAAATATAGTGTGAAAACAGAGAATTTCCGATGGCCTCTTCAAGTTTTTTTCAATATTCTAGATTTGACAGCGATAACCGCATGGATATTATATAAAGAGTGCACCGGATCGAAAATATGCAGAAAGGAGTTTATATTTTGTTTAGCCAAGGGATTAGCTGGAGAAAACAAGGAGAACATTTCCCAAGGATCAGACGCTTCATTTCTGTCACCTTCAACGTCAGTGTGCGAAAAAGTTGCCAGGGGGGCTCCTGCAAAAAAAAAAAAAATAGAAGCAATAATTATATATTGCAGTCGTATATATTGCAAAAAGATCGTATGTCAAAAACGCACAAACAAAATTCAGTATATTTGCAAAAAATGTGCTCAATAAATATGATTACCCTATACCGTTAATATTATTGTTATCATTTCCGTGATAATTTTGAAAAAAAGACTTTTTACCTATTAATAATTTATTTAAACGTGAAGCTTAATAATGTTCAATTCAGACTTAATTTGAATAAATCGAATTTTTAAGGAAAATGTATATTTTCGTTTACCCGTCAATTTGACGGGTCCTCGTAGAGATAGGTATATAAGTAACGGATGTAACAGCCAGTGTTAATAAAGAGGTTGAATATACACAAACTTACAATAGTTACGGTATGGACGACTACAATTAGGTGTATAGCGGTTCATAAAAGAGTTTTATCGTGTATTATATAACAACAGCAACAATGATAATAATATATTTTACTATTTACTATATATGCTATGTTATATGTTTACTATTTTTGGTAAGCATTCATTAAAAAAGTCACGTGTAAAGCTCAATATTTTGAATAATTGCTTCCTATACATATAACCGGCGATCGGCCTTAGTTATCGGTTATATCCCAAATTATCCTGTTGCTTGGCCTCCAATTTTCAGGCTGGGTTTGGTTAATAATAATATTAACCCAACGCTTTGTGCATCTTATCGATATTATCGATATTAATTAGAATATGTTGATGTCACTGGCAAAGGTATTAATATAAAAACGATCGCATAAACAGGTCTCGACACTTGCTAGGGAAAATCGTTCGAAAATTGGGTCGTGTAAGATCAACATAGAGATCAATAAAGTTCTTATTCTGCGAGACAGACAGAGATGAGCAAAGTATCTCTGTCTGTATCTGAGACATTCATAACACATCACGTATACGCAGACCAAGTCTCTTGTCTTCTATGTAGATCTTTTATGATCCATTTTTCTGACTGTTTCTTCTATGCTTTCGATATGAGTCTCGAGATCTGTTTATATGATCGTGAATATAAATAATGTTGGCCGGATTAATATTACTACTGACCCAATCCAGCTTGAAAACTAACGCCGAGCGATATTTCTGCATATAACTCGAAATCGAAGAAGAGTCTTCTCCTATCAGCTTGCAAGAAAATTCTTAGCTTATAATTTAGAAAATGACTTATAATTTAGAAATTAGTAAATCTGAAAATGTAGAAGTTGTCAAATAAAACAGTTTTACGAAGTTTAACAATTCTATTATCAACTCATTATTGTTTCATATTTACTTCTAAGAGTCAATTTAATTGCGTCGTAGCATTCTACTATAGCATAGCGCTTTTATCGCGAAGCCGTTAGGAAATTCCGTGGCGAGTGCCGCCACAGTACCCCTTTATCAGTGATAACGTTACATAAATAAAAAACAATATAAATGATACAATACAATGTACGCATTCGACGGCTTCTAAGCCTATCCGAAACCTGCCTGAAGCCAATCGGGAAATCGAACTTTTCGCCCAGACCGCGTAACG